ACTAAGAAAACTCATGGGTGCTCAGCTGGGCGGAGACAGCTGAGATGGGATGTCACAGCTTGTCCCTGCCCTCTCCACTGATAGAGTCCGCATGGGACGAGTGGAAGGAGCAGGAACTGCAGGTCAAAGAGATGGAAGCATGGCAGTAGGAGCTGTGTCTTGAGACCAGGTACTTGTGTGTGAATATGCAGAAGTTTGTGTGTGTGTACTCAGCAACCTCTGTGTGTGTACTCAGCAATCTGTGTGTGTGCTCAGCAGTGTGTGTGCGTGTGTGCGCTTAGCAATCTGTGTGTGTGTTCCCAGCAGTCTGTGTGTGTGTCTACTCAGCAATCAGTGTGTGTGTATTCAGCAGTCTGTGTCTGTATTCAGCAATCAGTGTGTGTCTGTATTCAGCAGTCTGTGTGTGTGTGTACTCAGCAGTCTTTGTGTGTGTACTCAGCAGTTTGTGTGTGTGTACTTAGCAGCCTGTGTGTGTGTACTCAGCAGTGTGTGTATGTCTGTATTCAGCAATCAGTGTGTGTATGTCTGTATTCAGCAGTATGTGTGTACTCCGCAGTCTGTTTGTGTGTACTCAGCAGTCAGTGTGTGTACTCAGCAATTGCTGTATGTGTATTCAGCAGTCTTTGTGTGTGTATTCAGCACTGTGTGTGTGTGTTCAGCAGTCTGTGTGTGTGCAGCATTATCTGTATGTATTTAGCAGTCTGTGTGTGTTTGTATTCAGCAGTATGTGTGTACTCCGCAGTCTGTTTGTGTGTACTCAGCAGTCAGTGTGTGTACTCAGCAGTCTGTGTGTGTGTACTCAGCAGTCTGTGGGTATGTACTCAGCAGTCTGTGGGTGGGTGTGTACTCGGCAATCTGTGTGTGTGTGTGTACTCAGCAATCTGTGTGTGTATTCAGCAGTCTGTGTGTGTGTATTCAGCAGTGTGTGTGTATTCAGCAGTCTGTCTGTGTGCAGCATTCTCTGTATGTATGTAGTAGTGTGTGTGTGTGTGTGTGTACTCAGCAGTGTGTGCTCAGCTGTGTGTGTGCTCAACAATCTGTGTGTACTCAGAAATCTGTGTGTGTGTGTGTGTGTGTGTGTACTCAGTAGTCTGTGGGTGTACTCAGCAGTCTGTGGGTGTGTACAGAACAGTCTGTGTGTGTATTCAGCAGTCTATGTGTGTACTCAGCAGTCTGTGGGTGTGTACTCAGCTGTCTGTGTGTGTATGTATTCAGCAGTCTGTGTGTGTGTGTGTATTCAGCAGTCTGTGTGTGTGTGTGTCTGTGTATGTGTATTCAGCAGTCTGTGTGTGTGTGTATTTAGCAGTCTGTGTATGTGTGTGTGTATTCAACAGTGTGTGTGTTTATTCAGCAGTCTATGTGTGTGTGTGTGCAGCATTCTCTGTATGTATTCAGCTGCCTGTCTGTGTGTGTTTGTTTAGTAGTATGTGTGTATATGTGTGTTCAGCAGTCTGTGTGTACTAATCCATCTTTGTGTATGTATTCAGCAGTCAATCTGTGTGTGTGTATTCAGCAGTCTGTATGTATGTGTATTCATCAGTCTGTGTGTGTGTACAGCAGTCTCTGTATGTATTCAGCAGTCTGTGTGGGTGCACACAGCAATCTCTGTGTGTATGTACCAGTCTCTGCGTGTAGTCAGCAGTCTGTGTGTGTGTATGTATATTTATTCAGAAGTATGTATGTATACAGCAGTCTCTAGAATATCCATCTCTGTTATAAATGGTATGTACACACATTGCCATATACTATATACACACAAAAGCATACACAGACATTGTAGACACACACTCAAAGTATACAGACAATGACACGTTCAGACAACAGTGTGGTCACACTGTTATACACATTAAGACATCGACACACTACTACTACACACACACTCATACAGACATTACATACACACACTGCCTCACATTTAAAATGCTATAAACACAGTTAGACAAATTACAAACACTGTAAGTAGTTTATTTGTAAACTTGAGAATTTTCTACTTCCAAATGTTCTCATTCTTTTATGTACGTCGTGCCCTGTGATATCACGCATATATAATCAATTATTAAAGTTAGAATGGCTGGTATTTTTTTTCCAAAAAAGGTGGCAACCCTAGCTGCTGCACTGCGCAGCCCCAAGTAACACGGCCCACCGGGAAATCAGTCCGGCCCTAGCCCTAATGCAGAACTTCCCAGAGGGCATACAAACATTTTCTCGTCATGTTTTCCTTGGAATCAAGCAAAACCTGTCTCATTCCCAGTGAACTGTCTTTTGTGCCCTCATTTGTCATTTTTATGTGTACAGTGGGACCTCGGTTTACAAACTCCTCGGTTAACATAATTTTACAAATGAAAATCTATTGAAAATAATGCCTCGGTTTACAAACAAATTTCGCAATACAAAGCAAGATTCCCCAGAATACATTGCACCTGGGAGGTTTATAGCACCGCCCCTTGCTTGCTGGAGTCTGTGGGTAGCATGTGGCATCAATTGTGGAGGTGTTGGAGCGGCTTTTGCTCCGAGTTTTGGAGCCATTCTGGTAATTGTTTTCAGTTAGTTTGGGACTTTTTGGTGCATTTCTCAAGCTGTGGAAAGGTAGGAAGCTGAGCTTCGTCGTTTGCATGCCTTTTATTGTGTGTTCTGCATTGTGGGTTGGTTTCCACGCCAGCTCATGTTTACTTTTTTTCTGACCTCCAGAATGGATTAATTGGTTTTCAATGCATTTCTATGGGAAACCGTGTTTCGGTTTATACATTTTTTGCACTAAGAAACGTCACGGAGAACGCATCAAATTCATAAACCGAGGTCCCACTGTATTTGCAAATATTACATGTTTTAAGAATGAAAAGTTATATTTCTTAAACTGTGTACTTTGTATTTAAGAGATTTTGCAAACTGACAATTTGTTAGAAATGGAAAATATTGCTTTTCATACAATGTTTCTTTAATAAATGACTTCTTACCCATATTGAATATGGTGAATATGATGTTCAGACTTTAGGACGCCATCTTGTCCTAGGTTAATGTAACAACAAGTGAGGGCATTTCCAACATCATGTGTACCCTTAAGTTCTAGTCTAAGATGTTAAGGTTGTGTCAATAGACTGATTAAGATGTTCCCATATGAAATGGGAAAGTCATGGCCTCATATATTTGTCAAGTTAAGGTAGGTCTAACATGACCTAATTGAAAAGCTAAGGTATAAATACGTGTACTTCTTAATATTAGCAGCACACAGGAGAGAATTAGATGTTGCTCCATTTTATCATAACTGAGAAGTTGACTTGTTGAAGAGGGTATGTTTTTCCATTTTACCGATATTGAAAGCATATACTTTAATCTCATAAACTCTGCTATAAATTATTCTATTGGATTATTATGTTATTGTATGTCTAAATTTATATTTATTTGTTTATAAAATATTTTAAAATACAAAACTTTATTGCTTCCAAGAAAATCCCTATTTTATATAGTATTCTCAATTATTTATATAGGAACTTTTACTAACTATGCAATATTATAGATAAGACATCTGTATGGTTACCCCTGTTAAATTCTATGCTTTAAGATGTTATAGTGGTAAATAGGTGAACCAGCAGCACCATTGTACTCTTTATCCGGCCTAGATAACATCAAACTATAGTAAAAATGTCTTATTATGTTCACGAAAACATGGGTGCATACAGTAAAAACATTTAAAAGAATGCAAATTGTTTAGCTCTAATCCATCAACTCTCTAGATGTTTTGCAATCCACAAGAAGTAACTTATCTTTTTCAGTTATCTTCACTCAGGTGACATCTGGAATGCCCTCATCTTTTTTTCATCATTCCTTCTTCGGACTCTCCCTCTTTTCTAACTTTGTCTACCTTCTGTATACTTCCTTTTATTGGTCTTCTACCCATTTTCAGGCACAAGCAATTATAGCTTGCCAATGTGCACTCTTTATTACTGCTCTTTTCTTTTTAATGTGATTATTGATGGTCAGCTAGTTCCGTATTGCACCAGTGCTAATAATTTTGTCTTGTATTTATTTTTTTGCTTCTTGTACTATTATTTTGCATACTAAAACCCAATACATTTTATGGGAAAAATAAAATAAAATAGTGTAGATCACAATAAATAGAATCCTCTAAAACAGCCTAGTGTAACTTGGTAAATTAATGTATTGTTGGGGATAAGGAGGGCCTCGCAGGAGCACTTATTCCTGTTTTGGAAAAGTAAAGTGGCAGCCAGGCAGTGTAATCTACTTTTGGGGGATAAAATAATCAAAGTAGGATCAGCGCTGATAATGCCACAGAAAATATTTTGTAAAATAGTAAAAATGCAGAACACCTATAAAGGGGGGTACCCTCCTTTCCCCTATAGCTTAGTGAGAAACGGAAACACAAAAGAAATAGGGCGCGCCTTTAGTAAAAATACATAAATATATAGCTAAAAAAATATATAAACTACAATAAAATAGAAATTGGGATAAAAAAAGTCCAAGGTAATAGTCCACAGATAAATGAAGAATGTTCTTTGTAGCGTAATGTTGTTTCGTCCCAGATGATGACTTGTATTTTCAATGAGCCATATGTGGAGAAAAGTAAAAAGGACAACCAATGGTACAGTATGTAGATATAGATGAATATATATGCAATAAATTGGAATTACTCACAATTTCCAGAGCTAAAATCCAGCTCTGGTATGAAGTGCGTGAAGTGGAATGATCCCCACTCAAGGATATATGGAGCAGTAACTTGCAAAATAGGTGGTCAACCAAGGATTCTGACAGAAAATTAAAACAGATAAAATATATAGTGCTCACTGTATGATATGAGTATAAATAAAAAGAAAAGTATGAAATGTACTCACAATATATTGAGCAGTCCTCTCTGCTCAATTTTTAGCGTATGGGTGGTATAATTCCCACCTAAGGATTTTTCCGTAAATTCGTGTTGATTCAAGTTAGTCAGGTGTGAGAATAAAATTAAGTAAAAAATAGGAATGCGGCGATAAAATATTTGAGGCCAAAATTCCTTTATTATGACAATATAGAAACTATTAAAAAAAATTCTAAACGCGTTTCGCCCACAACAGGCTTCTTCAAGTAGATTATAGTAGAAACAGAAACCTGACTGACAATGCTTTATATAGGGTATACTAAATGTACTGGAATTTGAATATTCCCGCCAAAATGACGTCTTCACAAACTTAATTTTAAAGTACATCAAAATAGTATAACAGTAATATAATTATCATATACATACATATACAAATGGACTATATGCATATTTTATGGAAAACGAGATGTAGATCATAATTACAAGTGAAAGTCACGTGACGCGCGGCACAAAATTACTTACGCGTCACGTGGGTGCAATGAAACGCATGCGTTCCATAGTGATGGAACGCATGCGTACGGAGACAGAGTGCCGGCCGGGTAGAATCAGGGAAGCCCCACGTCATGAGAGGGGAGGAACCCTCTGGTGATCGTGAGTGCTGGAGGCAGGCTGTGAGCATGCCGTCTTTTCAAACAGATGAACAGACAGCATGCTCTCAGTGGGCAGCCAGACCCCAGATTCAAATACATAGGGGGCACACAGATGGAACCATAGCAACAGATTGATATAATAAAATATAAAAATATATAAATGATTGCTAAAAGGATAAAAATATGTATATAAAAAAATATGTATATAAAAAAGAGCAATAGATTAATTACAAAGTTATTTATATTAAAAAATGTTTATATATAGAAAAGTGTATATACAAATTATATAAAATATAATATAAAATAAATGTGAATATTAGTGTTATATAAAAAGGATTTTTAAGATTTAAAATACATAACTATATAAATATATATATACATATATATTTCTACGTTTGTTAATTCTTATTAAAAATACATGATTAAAAGGGAGGGATAGATGCAATAAAAGTTATAAAAAATTAAAAAAGTTGAAGTCTATATTGAGACCTTGTGGGGTAAGAGTTTTTAAATTAAATGCCCATTCCATTTCTTTACTACCTAGAATCTTTTTTATGTCTCCATCTCTCCAAGGGATGTTACAAGTGTCTATACCTATGCATTTTAAAAATTTAGGATTTTTACCATGTATTAAAAAGTGTTTAGATACTGAATGGTTCTCATAACCTTTTCGAATATTTCGGCAATGTTCTGCCAATCTAATTTTTAATTCTCTAGTGTTCATGCCCACGTATTGAAGTCCACATGGGCATTCTAATAGGTAAATTACATTTTTAGTACTACAGTGGATAAAATGTTTTATAAGGTATGTTCTTTGGGTAATGGATGATTTAAAGGAGGTAGTTTTTGATTTAATATTGTTGTCCATATGTTTGCATACTATGCATTTATTGCATTTAAAAAAACCTTTGGGCTTATTAAGAAAAGGGGGAGAACAGAAAGAAGAGGTAGTTTGGTTCTGTTTGGTATAATTCTTTGTATGGATGGATTTGAAGCTAGGTGCCCCTCTGAATATAACATGTGGTTTTTTGGGGATAATCCCAGCTAAAGTCTCATCCTGTTTTAATATATGCCAATGTTTGTTGATAATCTTCTTCATAACATTATTTTTGTTATTGAAGTCGAAGATAATTGGCAATGATGGAGCATTCTTAGAGGTTTTGTTATCTCAATATTCTAGGAGATCCAATCTGTCTTTTTCCCTAACATTTTTAATAGCTTGATTTAAGTTATTAGTAGGGTAATTTTTTTGTGAGAATTTACATAATAACGTATGGTATTGGTCTTCAAAGTCTTGGGTGAGAGAACAGTTCCTTCGCAAACGGAGGAACTGACTTTTAGGTATTCCATGCAGCCATGGTTTATAATGGCAGCTTGATATATCAATCACATTGTCTGTGCAGACTTTTTTAAAAAGAGTTTTAGTATGAACCTCATTATCTTGGATAAAAATTTGTAGGTCTAAGAAATGAATAACAGATTGGCTATATTCATGTGTTAAAATTATACCGTTATTGTTTTGGTTTAAAAAAAAGTAGAAATTGATTAAGGGAACTTTCTGTGCCTTCCCAGATAAGAAAACATGTCGTCGATATATCTAAAATATGTGACCAGGCTTGTCTTCCAGTCATGCTCTCCAAAAATGGCTGTAGTTTCCAACTCTGCCATAAAGAGGTTTGCATAACTGGGCGCAAATCTGGTCCCCATAGGAGTACCTTGTTTCTGTAAATAAAAAGAGTCTAAAAACCAAAAATAGTTATTTTTTAAAATAATATTAATACCTTCTATTATAAAACTAATCTGTTAGTCTGGAATTATGTTTTCTGCCCTTAGAATTTTTCCACTGTGGAGCAGCCTTTATCATGAGGGATAATTGTATACAACGATTGTAGGTCACAAGTAACTAAAAAATAAGTGTCTTTCCAAATAAAATTATTTAAAAAACGGAGTAGAGTCATGGAGTCTTTTAAGTACGATTTCATACATTTAACAGAGGGTTGTAGGAGGATATCTAAATATTCAGATAAGTTTGATAAAATGGAATTTATCCCTGATACAATAGGCCTTCCAGGGGGATTTTTATCATCTTTATGAATTTTTGGTAAGAAGTAAATAACTGGAATTTTTGAATGAGAGACATTTAAAAAGTCATATTCTTGTTTATTTAAAATCTTTTGGTCTCGGCCATTATTTAAAAAAGAGGTTAAAATTTGCTGGATTCTTGGGGTCGGGTGTCGTGGTAATTTTTCATAGACCTTATGGTCATTGAGTTGTCTCATGGCTTCTCCTTTGTACATATCTTTAGACAGTATTACAATTCCCCCACCTTTATCGGCTGATTTTATGACAATGCTTTCATCTTTTTGTAATTGTGAAAATGCCTTACATTCTAATTGTGAGAGATTGTCTTGATTATATTTGTCTCTTTTGATTTTTTCAAATTCTTTTGTGACCAATTTTTTGAAGACCTCTAGGGGGCCTGTTTTGAAACTTGATGGGAAAAAGGTGGAGTTCTTTTTTAGAGAGGTAGATATTACGTTTGGGCAATCATCTGGTAATGTAACTGGGAGTTTCGGAGTAATTGTGTCTAGGTTTTTGCTGGCAAAGAATCTCTTAAGGGTAGCCTTCCTTACAAATTTATTAATATCTATGAATGCTTTAAATGGCTTATAAGGGTTCGTAGGAGCGAACTTAAGTCATTTCCTGAGGACTGATATTTGTGTGGCTGTTAGGGCTTTTTGTGATAAATTAAAAATGCCAAGTTCCCTCTCATTTATAGGAGTTATTGTCGATCTAGCCTTTCTCTTTTGTGTTCCTCTCCCACTTCTCCTTCCTCTAAACTTAAGTTCCTTTTCCTCGTTTTTGTAGGATGTGGTGTTTGTGCGTGGGTGTTGTTCTGAGTGCATAATTCTAAAAATAATCATCATTTTCAGATTCTGAGTCTATAGATAACATTTGATATCTGTTTTTGTGAGTGTAACTGATAGGTGACTTAGTGCTTTCAAAGTGTCTGTGTGCGAATCTAGATCTTTGGGCTTTGGGTCTTGTTGCCTATCATTTTGATATATCCCTGGGGAATATGTTGGATTATCATTGTGTTTATGATAGTTGGAAGCTGTGGGAAAAGAGATGTGATATTCATGTGCTGGGTAGAGGTGTCTTGGCTGGGTTTGATAATTATTGGATCGAGTGGTATGTGGTTTGTGTTGATTGTGATTCCATGATAGTGTGGAAGAATATAGTCTATCCTTCCTTGAAGGGTAGTTGGAATGTCATGGTATGCATTGCTTAACTTTGTATTTGGTGTTATTTTTGTAATGGATTCTTCCTTCCAGTTTGTCCATCAGACAAACACTTTGCTGAGATACATGGTGGGCTACCATGATGAAAAAGAGAAAAAAAAATGTACTCTCTATTATACATATTTTATTAAAAGCCATCACAAAATTAATCTGAATGAGTTCAGAATTGGAGCCCACCTAAATTAATATAAACAAGTCTAATTATTATAATTATTTGGTATGTATATAGTGCCGACAGCTGCATAATAGAGGGAACACCCCATTGTACAGCGCTGCAGAATTTGTTGGCGCTATATAAATAATAATACAGACAAATAATGAACATGTACTGATGCAAACAAAAACAGGCTCTGCCCATGAGCCTACAGTCTAGCAAACAAAGTGCTTAGCAAGACATCATGTGAGCTTCCAATCTAAATGGGTAATAATGGGAAATTGAGATATGATGTTGATGGCCTGAGATCTGGGGCAATATGTAAATACTGAATAATGTGTAAGGTAGTTAAATCGTTAAGATTAGAGGCAGCTGAGGAAACATGTTAAAAGGAATGGAGGAGCAAGGGTGGAAGAGTGCCATTGAATTTCTAATTTTGATTAAAGGTAAAGCATTTCATTGTTTGCATATGATATTGCTAAATTTCGAAATGTTTGTTTTTGCCACTGGAAATCATGGTGCATATCTGGATCTGTAGAAAGAAAGAATGCAGAATCTGCACCATGTTGCTGGGCACATTCAGTGTCAACTTTAAAAGCCGTTCATTTCACATTTGAAGTATATGATCCATACATTTACAAAGCACAGATTCTAAAGATAACCAGATAATTCCAAATGTGTATCCAGTAGGATTCTTATTTGGAAATGATTGTCCACTTGCTTTTTGCTATAATAATCAGTACTACATACTTACTGCCAGCGCTAGCAGTCAGAAGACAAATCGTTAAAAAAAAAAAAACACTCTGCGGTGTAAGAGTTAAATCATGTGGCAGACAATAATTTTGCATTTAAAACATCAGTGCATGTACAACTCTCCCAGATTTAACATTGACACACTTTACCAACCTTCAAATGTTGATTAACTTGGAACTATTCATCTTCAGTAGGGGCCATTGATATCATAGTTTATTTTTATCTGGTTACCAAAATGCTCCAGCCCTTTTGCATATTCTGCTGCTCACTTAAAATCACCAACTCTATTACATTGTGAGATAAACTACCAGTGCTAGCAGCCAGACAGCAAATCGTTAAAAACCTATCACTAGCCAGCCACCAAAGTAAAAAGTTTAACAAAGCCCATGTGGGTCTAACTATAGTATAAAACCCCCCTTATAATCCCACTTGATATGCTGAAGATTGGGCATATCTGCTAAACAGCCTGGTGATATAGCTCAGTGGGCTAATGTTTCATCAGTAGAATCTGTTCAACCTTGGGGGTCGCAATAGTAACATCCCCTGGATGCTGGGCAACAGTAACATGCTCAGGATGTATTTGGAAACCAAGGGGCAAGGTTAAAAAAATAATTCTTAGTAATTATTACTTTACAGAGAGGGTAGTGGGGGCATGGAATAGCCTTCCAGCTGAAGTGGTAGAGGTTAACACAGAGAGGGAGTTTAAACATGCGTAGGATAGGCATAAGGCTATCCTAACTAAAAGATAAGGCCAGGGACTAATGAAAGTATTTAGAAAATTGGGCAGACTAGATGGGCCGAATGGTTCTTATCTGCCGTCACATTCTATGTTTCTAAACACATTCACACATACATTAAATACGATCCCATATTGCAAACCTTTGGTGAGTTGCACATTGTAATCACAACACTGCACTACTACAACTAGACAAACATATTTTCACACTTACAACAGGGTTCAAAATTTCCACACACCTTGGTGGACCCATCTCTCCGGTGGGATGGGATACAGTCAATGACCAATTGGAAACAGAGGATATAACCAACTGACACAGTGTTTGGCTGCAGAATCAGTGAGTGTGGCTCATCATAGGGCTGTCAGTCTTTTTCTGGCCACACTATAAAGGCTGAACTTGATTGACACAGTGTCTTTTTTCAATCTATGTAACTCAGTAACTGTAGATTGGCCACTTCTTCATGATATCGTTACTGTGAGATATGTAATATACCAGGCCTTTTCCAGTTAGCGAATGTTGTGGGGTTTTATACTGTCTTCTTAAAGCTTGAAACAGGTGAGTATTTATTGTAAAACACATGAGCCTAGTACGGGAACTAAAATGTTCATTATAAAGATTTAGTGAAATATACATCAAAGAAACAGGATTGATCAGTCTTTGCCATCTTGGATTCTGGTCACGTTGTGGCATCAGTATTGGGTCTTGTTGGATACTTATATGCTGCAATACTAAAAGAGATGACAAAATATGATTAACAGTTACACACTGCGATTAACATGTTACATTTTACTTGTTGCTATTCAAGAATAATTAAACTAAATCAAATGAGCTGTTCTTTTTATGTAAAAACTTAATCATAACAATAATTTATCTAAAAATGGAATGTAACATAACACTTTAAAATGTCTATCACTACTGATGAATCCTGAAATTAGCTACAAATGCTGTCAAACTATTACCTAGGACAGCCCCCTTACAGAGAAAATAGAGCATAGATTTCAAACATGACCTTTAGGATATAATTATGGCAGTAATTGAAGATTTCTATAATTAAAATTAACATTAATTAATTGTGATTTTTCTGTTGTCCACATTTTTTTCTAAACAATTTATTTTGTTGGTTTTTTTGAGACAGTCTCTCCACTGCAGGAAGAAATAATTGGCAACAGGAGCAAAGTTGCGTTTTGTTATGGTGGATGATGGTCCTCCTGTGCGCTAAACAGTGAGAAGCAAACTAATGTCAATGGAAAAAGTAAACGCACTCCAGATTGACCTGACCAGCAAACTGAACTGGTTTGGCAACAACCATAAGAGGGTCCATCAAATTATAGAAAGAGCATGACAAAATGACCTTCCGCAAAACCACAAGAAAGGGATTTTCTATTTTATTCCAACTAAATAGACCTTAGAGAGTATACCCTTCCTCCTCATTGTTAGATGAGGACTAGATAGGAAACAAAACCAGGTAGGGGGCTGTGAATGATCCTACCACTTCCTTCCATCCTGCACAGTGGGTGGTAGGGTAAGTCATATATTCACATTTTCAAGCACAAAGAACGGGCCAAGAAATGCCCATTCTCCTGGTGTCTGCATATGTTAGGGTCACCAAGCAACTATCTAGCAGAACAAAGGACACTTGGACGAGGTCTAGAGCACTGTGGACCTCCAACAATGTTTTTTTTTAATGTTTTCATTTTAATTCGGAGTGTGCTTTTTAGTGCTGCATCTCAGCTTTGCCTGCTGCTACATTTAAATGATTAGGTTAATTCTAACTTGAGAGACTGTATATGTACAGTGTACAAATAGAATCTATTTATTCATTACCATGTCTTTTTTAAAGTTTGATGCATTAACTTGATATATTGATTGTATTATTTTTTTAACACTTGTTTAATGTAATTTCTAATTGCCTAATTGTTTATTTAACTAATTGTTTGTTTGTAACTTGTGTATGTATAAGTGCAATTTTGCCACTGTGGTGTTAGCTTTAAAAAGACCTTAACAGGTCGAAACGTTGCAATAAATCTGCCTGCAAACAATCGCAGTGAGTGCCTGAGTTTTTTCATTTTGTCCATTGTTCTTGTGGTTTTTTGCTGACCCATGCTCAGTAGCACCCTGGGTTGAATTGTTGTGGCTGAGTGCGACCCTACCCTTTTTTCTCTATTGTATGCGTACAGTGAGCGCTCAGGGACCAGAAAAAAATTAATTATCTCGGTAGAAACATTATAAAGGATACACTTAATGTATCGGTTTTATGATCTTCAGATATACCAAGGTTTCTACAATGATTGTATATTTATTAGCTCTTCATATTTAATTTTGCTTTTTTAGTTTTATCTTAGCATACTTTACATATAACGTCTACTTTTCTAATTAATTCGTAAATTTCTTTCATATCCCTATTTTTGACGTCTCTCAGGGAGTTAAACTTTAAGAACCTTAAGACGTGTCAGCACGTCCTAACGATAATGGGCTTTAATGCCTTTAGTGTGTAATGACTGCAGTTTTGATGTGAGCAGAGTTAAAATCCCCACTCATATTCCTGCTTCGAGCCCTTTAACGGCATTCATTACACCTCGGAAGAGTGATAACAGCTGCGGTGTTTCTGGGGTGCAGACTGCTTCAGGGGGACCGCCAATCTCTCCCTGCCTATTCCCAGCTTTGCCAGTGGCCCAGCACCGGTCACAGTGTAATCAGCTTGGAAGCAGGCTCCATTCATGATTACATTGAATGTAACAGACCTCCATATACTGTTTTAATTAAGAACATTTATATTGGCAGAGGTTTTCTTTAGGATTGGGATTAGTGGAGATGTTAGGGTTACGTTAGAGATAATGTTAGATTTATGGGTGTGAGTGTAGAAAGGTAAGGGTTAATGCTGGGTTTGGGTTAATGCTGTTCTAGGGTTATAGATAGTGTCGGGTTAAGGGTAAGGTAAGGATATGTATACAAGTAGCATTGGTGTAAGCACAGGGTTAAAGTGTGCATAGCTCTAGGTGGCAGGTTGGCAAAGGGTTAACATTAATTACCAAAAGTGTATTTAGATCATAAACATATGAGGCATTTAACAATCAGGACTGACAGAGGAATCTACTTTGAGTTTTGTTTTTTTGTTGAACTGGATGTACAGTTTTAAAAAAATGTTTTTCGTTTTCATTTTTTTTTTAAACATTTTATTCACACTTAATATTTCTGTCCTTTAAAAAACAATATATGATATGTATGGGGGAACTTAAAGAGAAACCCTTACATTATGGTGGAACAAACACATGCATTTCTAGGTTTTGTTTTGGATCTGAATTTGGACTATTACCTCTGTCCTTAACGAGTTAACATATACTGATATAGGCACAGTTACTAACACATAACCAGCCTTTCCATGTTTTTTCTTAGTGCTATATAGTAAGCTACCGTTACAATGTCGTTCTACTTACCCAATGGGAATAAGACTCAGAGCAGCAATTACAGCAGATAGGATAAAACTTGAACCAGAGAAAAGTTGTAACGTAGCCTGGTAGATCTTGTTGAATGCAATGGAGGTAATCACTGCAGAGATTGCCAGAGAGAACTGAAGTACGACAAAGATTTTTCCTGGAATACATAAAAGAATTGCTCAAATACTGTCTTAAACTGACACATATATAAGAAAACCATTCATTAGAATATGTGGTATTTTTTTTATTTTGAGTCTGAAAAGGTAACTATAAAACATACAGTGAGGGAAAAAAGTAGTTGATCCCCTGCTGATTTTGAACGTTTACCCACTGACAAAGAAATGATTAGTCTAGAATTTTAATGGTAGGTGAATTTTAACAGTGAGAGACAGAATTTAAAAAAAAAAAAAAAAAGGTAGAAAAACGCATGTCCAAAATTTTATTAATTGATTTGCATGTCAATGAGTAAAATAAGTATTTGATCCCCAATCAATCAGCAAGATTTCTGGCTCCCAGGTGTCTTTTATACAGGTAACAAGCTGAGATTAGGGGCACTCTCTTAAAGGGAGTGCTCCTAATCTCAGCTCTTTACCTGTATAAAAGACACCACCTGTCCACAGAAGCAATCAATCAATCAGATTCCAAACTCTCCACCATGACCAAGACCAAAGAGCTGTCCAAGGATGTCAGGGACAAGATTATAGACCTACACAAGGATGGAATGGGCTCCAAAACCAATGCCAAGAAGCTTGGTGAGAAGGTGACAACAGTTGGTGCAATTATTTGCAAATGAAAGAAACACAAAATAACTGCCAGTCTCCCTCGGTCTGGTGCTCCATGCAAGATCTCACCTCGTGGAGTTTTAATGATCATGAGAATGGTAAGAAATCAGCCCAGAACTACACAGGAGGATCTTGTCAATGATCTCAAGGAAGATGGGACCATAGTCACCAAGAAAACAATTGGTAACGCACTACGCCGTAAAGGACTGAAATCCTGCAGCGCCCACAAGGTTCTGCTGCTCAAGAAAGCACATGTACAGGCCCGTCTGAAGTTTGCCAGTGAACATCTGAACATTTCAGAGGAGAACTGGGTGAAAGTGTTGTGGTCAGATGAGAACAAAATTGAGCTCTTTGGCATCAACTCAACTGGCCATGTTTGGAGGAGGAGGAATGCTGCCTATGACCCCAAGAACACCACCCCCACCGTCAAACATGGAGGTGGAAACATTATGCTTTGGGCATGTTTTTCTGCTAAGGGGACAGGAGAACTGCACCACATCAAAGGGACGATGGACAGGGCCATGTACTGTCAAATCTTGGGTGAGGATCTTCTTCTGTCAGCCAAGGCATTGAAAATGGGTAGTGGATGGGTATTCCAGCATGACAATGACCAAAAACACACAGCCAAGGCAACAAAAGAGTGGCTTAAGAAGAAGCACATTAAGGTCCTGGGGTGGCTTAGTCAGTCTCCAGACCTTAATCCCATAGTAAATCTGTGGAGGGAGTTGAAGGTTCGAGTTGCCAAACGTCAGTCTCAAAACCTTAATGACTTGGAGAGGATCTGCAAAGAGGAATAAGACAAAATCCCTTCTGAGATGTGTGCAAACCTGGTGGCAAAGAAACATCTGACCTCTGTGACTACAAACAAGGGTTTTGCTACCAAGTAGAAAGTCAAAGGGGATCAAATACTTATTTCAGTTATTGACATGCAAATCAATTTATAACTTTTTTGACTAGTATTTTTCAGTATTTTCTTTGTTATTCTGTCTCTCTATAAAACTTATAGACTGATCATTTCTTTGTCAGTTGGCAAACGTTCAAAATCAGTAGGGGATCAAATACCTTTATTTCCCCTCACTGTAATATAGTTATTTAAATAGAAGATTGGTCCACACCCTGACATTTTCTTTGCTTTTGTCTTTTCACGTGAAACACCTATGTTACCTATGTTGCCTCGAGCTGTTTTAGTGATGTAGTGAAAACTGTTCTACAAGTGGAAAGATTTCAAAATAGTGATTGTAGACACAAATATACAATAGGAACAATGGTCATTATTCCATATTATATTACGGAAGATTTCACACTCTAGTGTATGGCTCTGCAATTCGAGTCGAGCCAGTGAAATTAGACCTGTGGTATGAGCGTTATATGAAGAGATTCATTTCAAAACTTGCTTAGGTGCTTACTCTGTTTAAAGGAATTTTTAACACTATGGGTGTAAAATCCCCAAATGTTTTTGGTGAGTTTTTCTTATGCCCCAAGCATATCTAACCAGTGCATGCCAAAAAGAGAGACTTTTTTTTAAAATAAAATAAGGGAGTGAAGTGTAGAGTCCATATTTGAAGTATGTTTTTTTTTGTTTATTTTGACATTCTTTATTTTCTTTGTGTATTGTTAGACAAACAAGCTTATAGAGACTTATTAATAGGGAAAAATAACGCATAGAAATTGCGTTGTCAGTACAGAATATGTCACGAGTGGTGCACATTTTATATCGAGGGATTGAAATATGTTTTTAAAGGAGGGTTTTAAAAATAATCTAGTGTGGCTACTCTTGAGTATACATCTCCAATCAGCCCATCATCCCCCCGCAAAATATAAAGCATGCTGTCTTTGGCAAATACCTACACATTTCCTTTTCAGAACATGAATGGCTGCACATTAATGTTTTCAGGGGAAACAATCTATCATGTAAAAAAAAAAAATGAGGCAAAAATACGCACACAAAAGTAATTGTATACAAATATATAAGGTGAGGTGCCAACAAGCTCTGTGTGTACTACACCTATTAAATAATACACAAATAATAAAAAATATAAAAATATATATGAAATGTGCACTCCCACAGACCATCCCTATGTATGTACAATAAATAATATTTATATAAGTAGATCATTAGAATAAAATGTCTTTATTCTGTGAAAACCAAGAAAGCAAATAAAAAAAAATAAAAAAATCTATTTCTCTGGCATCTTATTTTTATTTACTTACAAAATATTTTACCAGGAAGGATACATTTAGATTTCTCTTGTTTTCAGTTATGTCCTCAGCCCACAATCACTACATTGTTACAATAGGGTACAATATAATATTGCAAAAAAAATAATACAATATATATATACATACACAAATATATAAATGTAACAGATAATAGGTAATAAATATAGTCAGCAATGACATGTGTATTGAGGTATGCTGCCAAACAGCTCTGTGTCCCTGAGGTTATTCCATAATTGTGATGCAATGTAGGAAAATGAGGATCGAGCCACTTTATTTTTGTATTGCGGTATGCCAAATATCGCGATAGTACTGTATCAGAGGTTATAGGAGGTGGGAACTGCCAGGGAGAGCATTCTACTCAGGTAGAGTGGGAGCTTCTCATAAAAGCTCTTATGCACAAGGCTGGAAAAATGAAGTGTGTCAGAATTCAACATAACAACATAACATGTCACAATGGTGGGTCGTGTAATTATATTCTAGTATAAAGTGGCAGAACAAATTATACAATGCATTAAGTTTATTAAGGTGGATTTGCGGTGCAGGTGCATACACTACATCCCGATAATCAATGACCGGCAGTAGCATTTATTGTTTCCTTACTGTATGGCTTAGGCAGGATATGTTTCTACAGGACACCTAGTTTTGGATATAGTTTTAAAGAGAGTTTTCAATGTATCGGTCAAAGGATAGATTGGGGTCTAGAAATATACCTACATATTTGAAAGTGTTCTATAGTTGGGGGTTTTGTTGTTTACGTAATTTAGGTACAGTTCCAAGGATCATTTTAACAGTTTTGTCAGTGTTTAGGAAGAGTTTGTTATCCGCTATTCACTTTTCTACCTCTGTAAATTGGTTTTGGCGCACAGTCTCAAGCTGGGGTAGCTTGGGTTTACTAGCCTAGATAACTGTCGCCTGCATACATGTGTATAGTTAAGGCTTTGCAGACATTAGGCAGATCATTTATAAATAATGTGAAGAGTAGGGGGCTTTGGGCAACAACACACATGATTGGAAGAGGGAGGCAATATTAGAAATGGCCACATATTGCGATCGATCTGTTACATATGATCGACACCAGGTTAGCGGACGATCACCAATACCTGAGTTTTTAAGTTTTTGCAAAAGAATGCCATGGTCGACTCTACTGTGTCAAGGGCCTTGGCAAAATCAAGGAAAATAACTGCAATCTCATTGTTTCATGACAGTTTTAAAAGGGCAGTTGTTGAGTGATTTGGATGATTACTGTCTGCCTGTTTATCACTCTTGGTTATTGAGCTAGTCTCTGCCTTGGGCAGTGGTGTATCCTGGTTTTGTGCTGCCCTAGGCAGGACAAATCTCAGGCGCCCCCCCACCCCCGCCGTGCCAACCCACCCCCCAACCCTTCCCCCGCCCTCTAAATACACACACACACACACACATTCACTGACAGATACGCATACACTCGCTAACAGAAACACACACACACTAACAGACACACTCACACTCACTAACAGACACACACTCACTGACACACACACTCACAGGCAAACACACACACAGGCAAACACACACACAGGCAAACACACACACAGGAAAACACACACACAGGAAAACACACACACAGGAAAACACACACACTCACTAGCAGACACACACACTCACTAGCAGACACACACACTCACTAGCAGACACACACACACTAGCAGACACACACACACTCACTGACACAGTCAGACACACACATACACACTAACAGACAAACACAGTCAGACACACACTAACAGACACACACAAACACACTAACAAACACACACACATTAACACACACACTCACAGGCAAATACACTCACACTAACAGACACACACACTAACAGACACATACACACTAACTGACACACAGTCAGACACACACAGTCAGACACACAGTCAGACACACACAGTCAGACACACAGTCAGACACACACTAACAGACACACAGTCAGACATACACTAACAGACACACACTCACACTCACACAGTCAGACACACACAGTCAGACACACACTAACAGACACACAGTCAGACACACAGCCAGACACACACTAACAGACACACAGTCAGACACACACTAACAGACACACACACACAGTCAGACACACACTAACAGACACACACACACAGTCAGACACACACAATCAGACACACACTAACAGACACACAGTCAGACACACAGTCAGACACACACTCACACTCACACAGTCAGACACACACACACACACTAACAAAACACACACTCACTCACTCACTCACATTAACACGTTTTTTTATTCCCCCCCCCCAACCTCCTTACCATTGGGAGTGCTGGGGGGGGGTAGGGGTTCATTACTTCCCTGGTGGTCCAGTGGTTGTCGGGCTAGGCGGGTGGCTGGCGAGGGAGCTCTTCCCCTGAGCGGTCTGCTCAGCTCCCTCGCGCGCCGCAAAGTGAGGCTGGCAGCTGGGTTGATGACGTCATCTTCCGGCTCCCAGCCTCACTCTGCGGCACGTGAGGGAGCTGAGCAGACCGCTCAGGGGAAGAGCTCCCTCGCCAGCCGCCCGCCTGCCAGCGCCGCCCGCCCGCTCGGGATGCCAGTTAGCCGCAAGGCTAACTAGGCATTTGCCCTGGGCATTTGGGGGCGGCGTTTTTTTGCCGCCCCCTGAAAAATGCCGCCCAAGGCAAATGCCTTGTTTGCCTCGCGGCTAAAACGCCCCTGGCCTTGGGGACCCCTAATTGAATCCCAGGTATGAAGTCAAAATGCTCAAAAATAGTCTGACTACTTACAATGGGGTGGGATGGAGTGCAGAGGAACTCCTGGCACCATAACCGTAGTTCACTGTCTTCAGGCTCAGCATCATCAAGATCAACACTTCCATAGAGATGCATTTAAGGCCGGTGCCACCGTTAGGCAAATTAGGCATTTGCCTAGGGCGCCGATCTGCTGGGAGCACCCACTGGGATGTTTCCTGGTGGGCACCCCTTGTATGGGGCCGCAGCGCTGGGAGAGCGGCTCTTGAGCCGCCCCCCAGCGTTAGGTCGATCCTCAAGGTGCCCGAAGGTGGGGGCGCCAAAAAGAGCGCTGTCATAGGGGGCCCAGGAGGTGGCCATCTGGCCCCCTCAGGGCACCCCCGAACCTGTATTAGGTAATGCAGAGCAGGCACACTAAACTGCATGCTGGAGAACTGAGGAGCTGCTCCACACTGGACCCCAGCAGGGAGGTTAGTGTTTAAGTGTGTCAGTGAGTGTCTGCCTGTGTGTGTGTTTGTCAGTGAGTGTCTGTGTGTGTGTCAGTGAGTGAGTGTATGTCTGTCAGTGAGTGAGTGATTATGTGTCTGTCAGTGAGTGTATGTCTGTCTGTCAGTAAGTGTCGTGTGTGTGTGTCTGTCAGTGAGTGAGTGAATGTATGTCAGTGAGTGTCTGTGTGTGTGTGTGTGTGTCAGTGAGTGTGTCTGTCAGTAAGTGTCTGTGTGTGTGTGTCAGTGAGTGAGTGTATGTGTGTCTGACTGTCAATGAGTGAGTGTATGTATGTCAGTGAGTGTGTGTATGTTTGTCAGTAAGTGTCTGTGTGTGTGTCAGTGAGCTAGCGTGTGTGTCAGTGTGTGTCTTTCAGTGAGTTAGTGATCTGAGGGGCCGGCAAAATAGATCTTTGCCTACGGCGGCAGAAATCCTTGCACCGGCCCTGGATGTATCGGTGTAATGCATTTCTATGAGGAAATGCTGATTGGTGCAGCAAAGCAATTGCCATACATGCACGGTAGGCCTGTAATGCTTTTTAGGTTTGTAGTTAGAAAATGCATATTAAAGACACAGTGAATATAAAATGAATTTCCAATTTCAGACCAAAATAGTCAAACTAAAAACAGATCGGATTTGAGAACTCTATCAATTCAGCTATTATGGCTGAATACTTTAAATTTGCTTGGAATTCAGCCTGAAATCCTAATGTTTCCCAATTTAGTGAATAAATCAAAAAGTGATTCAATGGCCAAATAGTAATGGTTTAGAGAGTATTGAAATAGAACAAAACAGATTTAGATAACCATAGGTTTGCCTAAATTGGTGTTAGCTTCCCTGCTCATGGAGCATGGAGTTCGTTTTCAGAAACAGAATTGTGTAATGAGCGTGGGAGGTCAAACAGGAAATGAGTATGGACTTAAATAACGAGAATTTATATACCACAATAAATATCAGCAGCAGTAAGCCAGTCAACCGGAGGTCACTAAAGTGCAGCAATACCATTGTTATTTTTGTGTGGATAAAGTTAAACCCTGTGAATGTCATTTGTTTTTAACAAATCAAGGGTAACAAGCAATGGGGAATTCCTGGAATAAAAATTAATCTGTCTCTTCTTAGTCAGTGTGAGTAACAATGTTAAAACTTGCTTTGGGTACAGACATTTAGAGAAACAACTATAATTTGACTTTAGAATTTGTGAAAATAGGCAATATAATACCCTATAACATGATGAGTGCTCTTCTGTTTTATTTACTGGAAGTTTTATTTACGCAGGAACTGTTGCTGATAACCTTTATAAATGTGCTTGTTTCTTTATAAAACAAAACCAATGATTTTTTTTTTTTTTTTATTGTGAAAAAAGTTTTACAGGCTTATTCAAGTCTGAATGGCAATATACTGAATGGGGCAAACCATTTGGCACAGTTTAGGTTCCCACTGCAAAACCTAGACATTGTTCACTGTAAGTACCAATGTGTGAATTTTGCAGAGCATGTTTCGAATGAGCTTGAATTTGGTCTGGACTTCAGTGAGTCCAAATACTTCAAGACAGCTCAAATTCAAACATGAATTGTTAAAATCTATGTCTTGTGTCAAAGTAGATTTGCCACCAACACACAATCCTAAGGCACCAAGTATCCAATACTAAAAGGATGACATTGAAAGTCATGTTTCAGTGTTTGCAGATGACACAAAACTTTGTAAAATAATACAATGTGAGCAAGATATTACTTTGCTGCAGAGGGATTTAGATAGACTGGGGGACTGGGCACTCAAATGGCAGATTAAATTTCATGTTAAAAAATGCAAAGTTATGCACTTTGGCATAAAGAATTCACAAGCAACGTATACCATTAATGGAAGCAAATTAGGGATAACAACACACGAAAAGGACTTGGGAATTGTTATAGACAACAAACTATGCAACAATGTGCAATGTCAATCAGCAGTGGCCAAGGCCAGTAAGGTATTGTCATGCATGAAAAAGGGCATTCATTCTTGGGACGAGAATATCATTTTGCCTCTTTATAAATCACTGGTAAGACCCCATATTGAATATGCTGTGCAATTTTGGGCACCTGTTCTAAACAAGGATATTATGGCACTAGAAAAAGTGCAAAGGTGGGCTACAAAATTAATAAAAGGAATGGAACATATCAGCTATGAAGAAAGGTTAACAAATTTAAACCTATTTAGTTTAGAAAAACGTCGCCTGAGAGGGGATATGATAACATTATACAAATATATTCGGGGCCAATACAAACCACTGTGTGGAAATCTATTCACAAACCGGACTTTACATACGACATGAGGCCATGCGTTTAGACTGGAAGAAAGAAGATTTCGTCTAAGGCAAAGAAAAGGTTTTTTTTACTGTAAGAACAATCAGGATGTGGAATTCTCTGCCTGAAGAAGTGGTTTTATCAGAGTCCATACAGATGTTCAAATGGCTACTAGATGCATACTTGCAAAACAGAATATTCAAGGATATAATCTTTCAATGTAGGGTAATAACTGCTTGATCCAAGGATAAATCTAACTGCCATTCTGGGGTCAAGAAGGAATTTTTTTCCTAGCTTGTTGCAAAATTGTGCTTCAAACTGGGTTTTTTTTCCTTCTTTTGGATCAACAGCAAAAAACAAATGTGAGGTAGGCTGAACTTGATGGACGCAAGTCTCTTTTCAGCTATGTAACTATGTAACATTATATTACCACCCTTATAGTGGCAGGCTTAATGTGGGATCCTATAGAACACAGTGTTTCAACCAAAAGCAGGAGGTACTCCAGGAGCAGGCCGGCTGGCCACCTAAGCAACCTTCTCCTGGGAGGGGCCCAGGAAAAGGCCGGCTGTGTGATAAGGCAGAGTAGGCATGGATGGCAGGTGTCTACTCTGCCTGAACGTGCTGTGTTTGGAGGGGGAAGTATAGGCGGGTGAATTTTCCACGATTCAAATATTTCTTTTAACAGATCTCTAAATTACAAAATTTATCACATCCAATATCTCATTTTAATTCAACTTTAACTGGCCTCATATTATTCACACTCCTTTCTCCCCTATAGGTACCATGCAATATTCAATTATCCTCCTATGCATTTGGACTCATACTACTACTGAAATAACTTGACACTTACAGTTACTACAACCAAAAACCACAGTTTTCATAAAACAAAATTTTGGTTTTGGTAAACACCCCCACTCCCCCCAACCCAGCTCTGGTGAGCTCCGATATTGTCAGAATGCAGTGGCAACCCACTCTGAAACACTGGCTGAGACCACATAACTAGCTCACTGGACCACCAGAGTTCTCCCCCTGCAAAGTAATAAGAGGGGGTGTAAAGGTGTTTGTTTTAAATGATTTGTTTAAGCCCCCATCCTACCCCCTACACCATCTGCACTTACTTACACACACACAGACACACATTACATACCTTCCTATACACACACACTACACACCCTTCACTTACCTACAGGGCCGGTGCAAGGATTTTTGACTACACAGGAGAAGATGCATTTTGCCACCCCCTCCCCACCAAAAAAAAAAATGTATCTTCACCTGTGTGTCTTCTAACACCCCTTTTGACTAACTTGCCCCCTTTAGTGTTTTATATCCCATTTTTTATGTCTTGCCCCCCTTTACCTTTTGTGTGTCCACTTTGCTGTATTTTCTCTAATCTGTCTCTTACAACCCCCCTTGTGTATTTTTTTACTTCGCCCAGCCCCTTTGTCTGTCTCTTTCTTTCCCCCAGCCCTTTTGTGTGTCTTTCATCCCCCTGCAGCTTTCTGTGTCTCTTTCTCCACAACACATTGTGCGTCTTTTTACCCCAGCACCTTTCTCCCCCTAGCCCCTTTGTACTTCTTTCTCCCCCACAACCCCTCTGTGCATCTTTCCCCCCAGCCCCTCTGTGTATTTGTCTCAACCTCCAGTATATCTATTTGTGTCCCACAGCACTCCTGTTTCTTTTATTATCCCTCTGCACCTTTTATTGCCCCTCCTCTCCATTTTATTGCCCCTCTGTACCTTTTATTATCTCACCTCCTCCCCTCCTGAACCTTTAATAGTCCCCCTTTCCCTCCTGTGTTTTTCAATCCCCCCCATTTTAATGTCCCCCCTCCCCTCCTGTCCCTTTTATTGCCTCTCCACTTGTACCTTTTATTATTGTTCCCCCTTCTGTACCTTTTATTGTCCCCCCCTTCTGAACTTTTCATAGTACCCGCTCCCATCCTGTACCTTTTATTGTCCCCATCCTCTCCTGTACCTTTTATTGCTCCCCCCTTTACCTATTGTCTCCTTCCTTTCCCCTCCTGTACCTTTTATTGTCTTCCCCCTCCTGTCCTGTATCTTTTATTGTTCCCCTCCCCCTTGTACCTTTTTATGGTTGTCCCCTGTATCTTTTATCTTTTCATGTCAGACTGGGTAAGTAGCATTATGACCGCTCGGGCCACGCTCCACGCAGTCACCAACAGGAGGGGAGCGATGCGAATGGCGCTCTCCTCCTTCTGGTCACCTGGCGATCACTTCCCCTGGGCCGGTGCGCCCTAAGGCGCCTTATGGTAGCGCCGGGCCTGCTTACCTACATTTAACAAATACACTACACACACTCTATACCCCCTATATACGCACATGACACTCCTGCATTTACAGACACAAACACACTACGCACACTATACCCCCTATATACACACACACTACATTCCCTGCACTTATTAAACACACACACACTCTGTACATCCAATATACACACTACACCTCCTGTACTTACACACACTACACACGCTCTACACCAAGGTTAGGCATATTTCTCCCCTAATGCATTGATGCATTGCCTTAATTATAGCTATACGAGCTTCATGGGGATGTAGTCCACAACAGCTGGAGTGCCAAAGGTTCCCTAACCCTGCTCTACACCAACTATACACACACTACACACTTCAGGGGAAGGGAGAGGGAGAGGAAATGTAATGCCAAATCACCTGCACACCTACATGAAGAATGTGAACATTTGCATTAACTGAGATTATTATCACAAAGAGACATGTTACTCACCATAAGATGAACCTTGCACTTGCTTGGATAGGACAGATCTGATGGTAGGTAGTGGTATGAGAGAGAACATCATCACAGCACGGGCTGGAAAATAATACTGAAGTCAAAAACTAAAGCTTCTAATTTAACTTTTTTTTAAATAAGGCATTTGTTGGGCATTTTATGCAAATTCATTCCGATGCCTATGATTCCTGGTGCACAGAAAATACTTAGTGTTATTTACTAAAGCATGGGTGTCCATCCTTCCCTGGGCCACATTAAGCGCAGAGGAATAGTCTTGGGCTACACATAAAATCTATAATATAATTAATTTATATAATAAAACCCCATACCCCCACACAAACACACATACAATCACATACATACACAAATAATCACAGACCCACACACACATACAATCACAGACTTATACACACACAATTAAAGATATATCCACACACAATAACAGACCCACACACACACACAATCACAGACCTATAAGCACAATCACATACATGCGGACACAATCAGACCCACACACACATACAATCACATACCTATACACACAGACACACACAACACATACATTCACACACAAAATCACAGATATACACACACACACACACACACTCAGACCTATACGCACAATCACATACCTGCAAAAACATAATCACAGACACACACATAATCAGAGACTTACACAAACACAATCACAGACATACACACAGACCCCCCACCACCCACACACACACACACACACACACACACAATCACTGACAAATCATACACAAAAATTAAGTTAATGACACACACACACACACGCTCACTAACATACACACACACACGCAGGGACGTATTAGCCGCGAGGCAAACAAGGCATTTGCCTTGGGCGGCATTTTTCAGGGGGCGGCAAAAAACACCGCCCCCCAAATGCCCAGGGCAGATGCCTTGTTAGCCTTGCGGCTAACTGACATCCCGAGCGGGCGGGCGGGCGGCGCTGGCAGGCGGGCGGCCGGCGAGGGAGCACTTCCCATGAGCTGACTGCTCAGCTCCCTCGCGCACCGCAAAGTGAGGCTGGGAGCCGGAAGATGACGTCATCTTCCGGTCATCTTCCGGCTCCCAGCCTCACTCTGCAGCCGACGCGCGAGGGAGCTGAGCAGTCAGCTCATGGGAAGTGCTGCCTCGTCGGCTGCCCGCCTGCCAGCGCCGCCTGCCCTGCAGCCACTGGACCACCAGGGAGAAAGACCCCCCCCCCCAGCACTCCCAAAGGTAAGGAGGGGGGGGGTTTAAATTAAAAAAAAAGTTAATGTGTGTGTTTGTGTCTGACTGTGTGTGTGTGTGTGTGTGTGTGTGTGTGTTTGTGTCTGACTGTGTGTGTGTTTTTGTCTGACTGTGTGTGTGTGTGTGTGTGTGTGTGTGTTTGTGTCTGACTATGTGTGTGTTTGTGAGTGTGTGTGTGTTTGTGTCTGTGTATGTGTCTGACTGTGTGTATGTGTGTTTGTGTCTGAATAATATGTCTAACTGTAATATGTATATGTGTGTAATGTCTATGTCTGTATATATATATTAATAATCTGACTGTATATGTCTGACTTGTGTGTGTATTTGTGTCACAACTGTATGTGTGTGTGTGTGTGTGTGTGTCTGACTATTTATGTGTGTGTATTTGTGTCAACTGTATGTCTGTGTATGTATTTGTAATACAACTGTGTCATATGTATGTCTGACTGTGTGTATGTGTGCATTTGTATATATGTCTGACTATGTGTATGTTTATGTATGTGTCTACAACTATGTGTGTGTGTGTGTGTGTTTGTATGCAGCTGTGTGTGTATGGCCCCAAAGTGGCCGAGAAAAGGTTAGGTAGAGTGGCAGAGAAGCGCCTGAGTTTTGTCCTGCCTAGGGCAGCACAAAACCAGGATACACCACTGCACACACGGTAACTACACATAAGTGCACTGACAGAATAGCTCACTGACACACACATGCTCACTACAGACAAGTTCACTGACACAAAAATACAAGCTCATTCACTAGCAAGCACATAGACACAAAGTCACTGACAAATTAGCTGAAGCTTACCTGGCACTGAAGACTGTGGGAGCCATTTATTGACCTCTTCCTGTGGGGGAGGGGGAAGCTTGCATATGGGGGTGGGACTTATGTGCAGGAGGCTATGCTTGCAACGCAGGGTAAAGCATAAACGGAATTGCTGAAAATTGTGAAGGGAGCCTGACAGTTCCCCCTACGGTGTTCTATCAGATAAGTAAACTTATGGGGGGTTAATGTGCCTGACACACAGAGGATAGGGTGATTAATGGTGTGACACACAGGGATTGGGGGTTTAATGATGGTGATCCCCTGACTGTCACTCCACAACCCCAAATCCTCTGTCAGTCACCCCAATAATCCCCCAATTCCCAGTGTGTCACCCCCTAACACCTGTCACCCCATCAATGCTTTCCTATGGGGAAAAATCTGACGCTGACGGTCCTGGAGCTGGAGCATGAGGACGTTCAGCATCAGATAACAGACCAAAGGTCTGTTACGGTGCAGGTAGCCCTCTAATGGCTGTCTGGTAGACAGCCACCGAGGACAGACTTAGTGCTGCAATGTAAACATTATTTAGATGAAGTGGTCTGGGTGCCTACATTGTCCCTTTAAATTTGCTACACTTTAACACCTCTGCTTCTCTATAACCCGTACATCTACTCTGAAGCATTTTCATTCTGTAACCACCAAATGTCTATTGTAGCTGGGTGGCAAGGGAGCACTGTCCTCTGTGCTCTTCTTGCTCTACTCCCTTGTGTGCCCTGCTGTGATGCCAGGAGACGGAATAAGACATCAGTCCGGCTCCAGTATCACTGTGTGGTGCACAAGAGATCAGAACTAAAACATTACAGCACCTTTGTGCACCCACCTGCCTGCCTGCCCTGCAGCCCAGTCAGAAGGCAGAATAATCCACTCCAACTCTGTCAAAGGTAGAATTTAAAATAAAATGTGTGTGAGTGTGTCAGTATCAATGTGTGTCTGTCAGTGAATGTGAGTCTGTCCGTGAGTGTGTATGTTTCTGCCAGTGAATATTTGTGTCAGTGAATGTGTGTGTGCGTCTGTCAGTGAATGTGTGTGCCTGTAAGTGAGTGACTGTGTGTGTCTATTTCTGTGTGTCTGAGTGATTGGGTGTATCTGTCAGAGTGTGTTAAATCAGAGAGGATGTGTGCATCAAACCAGTGTGTGTGTGTGTGTGTGTGTGTGTCTGTCAGTGAGTGTATGACAGTGTATGTGCATGGGGGGGGGGGTGTATCTGTCAGTGAGTGGGTGTGAAAGTGTGTGTTGGTTAAACATTGTGTGTGCCAATGACTGTATCTGTCACTGAGTGTATGTCAGTGCATGCATCAATAAGGGCATGTGTCTGTTGTCAAAGTCCATGTTGGTTTTAAACAAGAAGAGGTGGGGCTTTGATTTCATATAGATCTTGCTTTTTAGTTACTTGAAAATCAAAGCTTGTAATGCAACTAAAAAAATTCTTCATTCACCCTTTGCACAACTATGGGAGAATTTTAGAGTCTGAGAGATTAGGATTCTATCAGGGTTATTCACAACAGTGATAATTCAAAGTGAATTTCACATTTAAAGGAACACTATAGTCACCTAAACAACTTTAGCTTAATGAAGCCGTTTTAGTGTATAGATCATGCGTCTCAGGTTTCACTGCTCAATTC